TAAGATTTTTTGTTCTGATGATGCCTTATACCTGATCCCTTCGACACCTCGTGATCGCACAGGCTGGTGTCAGAAGCAGGAAGTCTTTGAAGGATTGTGAGCATAGGTTTACAGTGATCACGGCTGGGCTCAGGAAGAGCTCATGGGTGACAGGCAAGTGTTGGAAGTGAAAGTGGCAGACCAGAGACGAGGAGGCCAGTTGGGGGTGGAGTAGAGAATGAGCTAGAGAAATAGAAGAACGGCAGTACCTGTATAGATATGGGGCGTTGTTGTTAGGTGCCCTCGAGTTGTGTCTGACTCATAGTGACCCTTGAACAAGGATGGAACACTGTCCTCTCAGTTGTTCTGGCTGAGCCCATTGTTGCAGCCGCTGTGCCAGTCCACTCTGTGGAGGGCCTTCCTCTTTGTCTCTGCCCCTCCACTTCACCAGGCAGGATGCCCTCCAGGGACTGGTCTCTCCTGACTAAGTATGTCTACAGGATGTGAGACAGTCTCGCCATCCCTGCCTCTAAGGAGCATTCTGGCTTGCATTTTTTCCAAGAGAGATTTGTTTGGTTTCTTGGCAGTCCACGGCACTTGCAGTATTTTTTTGCCAGCACTGTACTTCAAATGCATCCATTCTTCTTCTGTCTGTCTTATTAATTGTCCACTTGTCCGTGCCCGTGGAGCACTTGAAGATACCATGGCTTCGGTCAGACTTAACTGGCTCCCAGGAAAGCTTTGTTTTTGGGCACTGAAATGAGAATGTCTCACTATTTTTATGTATCATGAAATTTTCTTCTTTTGATTTCCCGCCACCCTTTTATTTAAATATGTAAAAACTATTCTTAGCCTGTGAACTTACATGATTTGACCCAAAGGCTGTGCAACCAAAGCCCAGTGATGCCTAGTGAATTCTGACTCTTAGTGACCCTCTTTGGGGTTTGAACTGTTGCCCTTGCCGTTGGCCGTCTAGCACTTACCTGACTGACCACCAGGGCACCTCATTTGTACATTGGGGCTTCATAAAACTCATGGAAGAATTCTGTTAGGTTTTGATTGTGTTTTTCCACAGCTTTTTGAAACCCCCTGTTGCAGCTTGGGGATGTATATTTCATGTTGCCAGAAGTAGTAAGTCCATAGGTTAAGACAAATTCTACTAAACTGTTGAGTGAAACTTTTTAAAACATGATGTTTCAATGGGTTAAATGTAGCCTTTTGGGTCACCTAAGGTTTATTTTCATAAGCATTTTAATGTTAAATGGTGTCTGATTTTAGAGAAGTTAAGAGCAATTTCTCCATTTGCAACTTTGATGCGAGCCAGGGGTTTAGAATCATCTGTTAGAGAAGCATTTTCTTTTTCCATTTGTGTTTTATTTTGCTTCCCCCTTCCTTGTTTTCAAGTCTGTTTCTGTCGGCATGCAAGTCACCTTTTTTCCTTTTCTAATAGTGCTCAGAGGCAGTATTTTCCTTTAGTTGATCAACTAACTTCACTCAGCGTAAGACCTTCCAAATGCATCCAGGTCATGAAGCGTTGGCAAGCTCATCATTGTTCTTTAGCCAGGTGTGTAGTGATCCATTGTATGTAGTCTTTCCTCCACTGGCAGGCATCGGTGCCATTGCCATCTTGTTGCTGTCATGAACTGTGTTGCAGGACACACGAGTGATGCGTGTATTGCTCGGGTTGAGTCCTGGCTTCCTTCGCCTCTGTCCTGAGCAGATGCTATGCAGGATCATAGAGTATTTCTTTCTCACGTTTGAGGAAGCGCCATCCCGTTTGCCACAGTGGTTGTCAAGTTTTACAGTCCCACCAGCAGCGTGTGGGGGTCTGGAAGCGTTTTTAATAGAAGAGGTTCAAAATGTCTTCGGAGAGACCAGGTTCTGTCTTTGATGGGCTCCTTGAGTGGGCCGAGTGGTTAGGCCCATGGCAGCAAATCCAGCGGTTGGAGGTTCCAAGTTCGTCCCGAGCAGTTCTGCGCTGACATACTTTGCCATGAGTTGGAACTACTTGGCAGCAACTGGAGTCTCTTTGATTTTTTTTTTTTAGCTTGAATAAAAATTTATTCCAAGTTTGTCTGAATTAAATGGTTTTTCAGCCTGACTCGTACTTGGCTTGAAAGAAAGTATCCCCAGGGCACGAAGCTGCCAGATGGCAGTCTTTTCTTTCTGTTGACGTGTTGTCATTAGTGAGTGCGTGGGGCAGTGTTTGCCAGCCGCACTGGAGGAGAACAATTGAACTGTTGGTGTGGATGTCACACTTACGAGCGCTGGAGGGACAAGCCATCTTAACGTCTTGGCAGATACTAAACAACTCGTGTCTTCTGCTTCATATCATGATTTCGCACTGGACATCACCCCGTAGACAGTCTGTGGCGAAATCTTGGAATTGAACTATTATTCTTCTAGTACAGCTTTTCTTCCTTTGGACCCTTAGTACGTAAACTGTTCTTTTAACGGTGGTACTAGAAAAATGGCTCGTGGCTAAATGAGATGATAAAGCCACAGCACATACTTTGATAAATGAAAATAAAATGATAAAACGAAGCAGCACATACTTGTCCAAGTACCTTTTAACCTTTAAAACTAATTTTTGAACACCCTGCCTCTTGAGACATAAACTGAGTCGTTTACTATGATATCCTCGATTCTGTGGGACTCTAAAGAAGAAGATTCCTCTACTCTCTTATCCCCTCATCTGTGAACTCTATAGGCTAGGAGTATATAATGATGAGTAATAAAATACATGATGTTGAGAAAGGAGTCTTGGTTCTGAAATCAAACCAGAGTTTGTCAGCTTAGCCACATAACAGCTGTGTAACCTTATGCTAGTTAATTTCTCTGAGGACCAGTGTCCTTATTTATAAAATGGTGCAAATTGGGACACTCATCGGCCACCTGTGGAATACACTAAGGGCCCCCACCTTGTTGGAGGTAGTTGCCTAGGTGACTTCTCAGTAGTACTGGAATTAGGGGACAGGCTTAAGGAAGGATCTGAAGCAAGGTGTCAAGTTTCCCTTTTGAAGAATGCCACAGTTTTTCTCTTAAGAAGTCTTGACGGGGAGACTGGGTTTACTGCCCTTCTCTCCAAATTCACGACTTAGGGTCAAGTGTTTCTTTATAGATCTGATAAGAGCTCAGCATCTTAGGTGGTATGCTTTCTTAAAAGGACACGCCCTTTGACCAGCTCTCTCTAAATCCCATGTCTAGAAAAGGAAATAGTCCGCTGCCACGCCTGACTCACCGCGGACAGCAGTAAGGGTTTGGGCACTGCAGTGTCGGCTGACTTCATCAGCCACAGCGATAGGGAAAGAGTGAAAGGGAGGCCACATCTCAGGGAATTAAATTAAAAATGATCCGACACTTCCCTTCTGTTAGGTAATTGTCCCTTTCCTTACATGGATTGAGGAAACAGCACACATAATTAGAGAGGATTTTGTCATTGAGTCAAAATTCATCTGAGGTTGAATCACTGTGGTAACAGTTGTCTACACAGTGTAGAATAGGACCAGACTGTTTCAGTACGTAATCAAATATAGAAATTAAGTTCAGGTACTTGATTACTTCTTCTCCCATTAGTAGGTATTGCTTTTTAAAAAAGGAAAATTAATTTCTTACACCTTCATGTAACTCAAGGTAATATATACCTACCCCTCACTTATTGGTCATCTTGTGAGCTGACATTTCACCTTTATAAAAGTAGTAAAGAGCCTAATATCTGACTATCTTGTACACTAATGATGTATGTTTGGCAGTAACAAATCCTCGGTGGGAATCGAGAATAAAACTTGGCTGGACCATGATTCTCAGGGGTTGGGCAGTTATATCTTGATCATTAATTTAGCATTATTTAATGTCATTTGACAGTTCTGTAATGTAATTTTTTGTATTTTGTCATCTGATGTAGTCATCCTCAATTTTTGTATAACGCCAATTTTTTGTATCATGCCAATTTTCCAAAGACATGATCTTTGGAACTTATCACATGAAGTTCAATGTCAATAACTGATGAGTGAGTATATTTATAATAATTTTTATGATTCAGTGTAAGATCATATTTGAAGCTCTAAGGAGCCTTTAAAAAGCATTTAATACTTATCATCACTCACACATGCCCTTAGACATACACAATGCATATAAAAGAGGGGCTAGAACAGTGGTTTTCAACCTTCCTAATGCCACGACTCTTTAATACAGTTCCTCATGTTGTGGTGATCCCCCAACCATAAAATTATTTTCATTGCTACTGCATAACTCTAATTTTTCTACTGTTATGAATCGGGTGACCCCTGTGAAAGGGTGATTCAACCCCCAAAGGGGTCACGACCCACAGGTTGAGAACAGCTGGTCTAGAAGAAGATAAACATTTATTAGGGACTTTCTTGGTCAATGGAGGAGAGATACTTATCCTTCACGCAAATGTTTTCATATATACATATTTTACTCTCCCTCATCTTTAAATTAGACTGCACTGATTAAGTGAGAGAACAAGCAGCCATGATGAAAAGCTTGCGCATTAATCCAGAAAATGCGTACAATTCAGTTTCTACTTTCAAAATTATAGACCAGGTAGATAGAGTTATCTATCAATGTGGTGCTAACTTCTAAGAACAGTGGAAACATTCGGAGGAGCCAGGGAGAAGGATATAGGAAAAGATTTCACACGAAAGACAGGTCGGAGGAAGAGAGATTTTCCCGATTTGGGGGGATATCTAAACCCTAGAATTGTTTTTTCATGACGAAACTTGTGAAACATGCATTGCTTCGAGGAAGATGCAGAAATGAATAAGATATACTTTCTTACCAGTTGAATAAATGGTAAGTAATATGGAAAGCTAAGGCACAAGTACAGTGCCTCTGTTTGCACAGAGATACAAATGACTGGGCATGAAGACCATGGCTGCTTAGCATTCCCAGAGGCCTCCTAGAAGACTTGGTCCTTGGATTATAGTGGGGATGGGGACGGGTGCCACAGCAGAGCAGGGCAGCTTCTACAACAGACGCCTTCAAGGAGACAGCCAGTTAGAAATGGCCACCTTTGGCTAAAAGCCCAGTAGGCTAAAGTTACAGATTTTGAGAAGTAGAGGGATTGTTTCCTTCTGTGGGCTATGTAGACATTGTCTTGGGTGTTACTACTACTCAAGACATCAGAGGATGGGTGAGTTTCCCGAGGAACAAATTTAATTTCATGAATGTGAACACCCCCCCCCCCAGATTAATTTCATTTACAGTTAAAACAATCCACCCACCGGCCCCCAGCATACCCTCCTAATTCAGCTTGCGTGGTGTTGTCCGTCCCTAGAGCGTGCCCTGGTGGACTCTGCGATGTGCGACTGTTCATCAGCAGCTGCTGGAGGAGCGCTCGCCCCAGCTGCTCGCTCTTGCCGAACTCTGTATCGACCAAGGTACGTGGCAGACTTTTGATTGATTTGGGCATTTATTTCCATTCTGATTCCTTTTAGCTTTTCAGTTTTGCCTTTGACAGGTAATAAATAATGACTTTTTGTTTGAGATTATTTTCTCTTTTATTCATTCATTCTTTTTTCCCCTCCTAAATGTTGAATATCATAAGTTATAAGGATATCAGATTGTAGAAATTCTTCTTCTTTTTAATCATTTTATTGGGGCTTGTACAACTGTTATCACAATCCATCCATCCATCCATTGTGTCAAGCACATTTGTACATTTGTTGCCATCATCATTCTCAAAACATTTGCTTTCTACTTGAGCCCTTGGTATCAGCTCCTCATTTTCCCCTTCCCTCCCGGCTCCCTCCTCCTGTAGAAATTCTTTTGATATTTTTAAAAGGCAATTACTTTCATTTATATCTACTTAAAGCATTTTATTCTATGAGGTTACTATGGTTTTATCACTAATTGCTGAAAGATACTTTTTTTGTTGTTGTTTTAATCAAAGGAGACTAATTCAAAATATGTGAGTACTCTTTATGTACTGCTCCTTCCCTCCCAAAAAAAAGAGCCTTAGCTATCTTGAGCTAAATTACCCTCAGAATAAGCATTTATTTACCTTATATTCTGGTGACTTTATGGAGAAAGGGGTTCATATTTGTAACATTAAGATTAAAAAAGTACATTTTGCATCAGATAACTGGTAGGAAGATAGTTTTATATTTTGTTTTATTTTTATTGCAATATATGGTATCTAAACACCTAAAATACAAGTGAAAAAATGACCAGATAATTAAACACACATAATCATATAAATGAATGCCTTTGTTGAAGATGCCTCTCATATTCCTAGAAAAGCATCGTACCCACGAGAGGACCTTGGGCACCTTGCTACTCATCAGGGTACGTGGGCTTTGGGAACAATATCTCTTGCCAAAAGAGCTCAAACAAAACAAAAGCAATATATATATATCTTGTATTGAAGGAATACTTGTATACAAATTAACTTAAAAAAAAAAAAGAACCTGTACTTGGTAATGAGCTTCTGTTGAAAGCGATGAGATTTGATTTAGGTGTGTGATTCCAAAGCCATGCTCCTGTCGCATGCTTAGTCGTGGAAGAAGCTGGCCTCAGCACTGGTCCCTCTATGTAATTCAGTAAAAATGCAGTTACATTACACTGCATAGGATGTTACCCCATTACCTCTGCTGCATTAGACTTCTATGGAAAAGTGGTAAATCGACAAAGCGTGAGGTGTCTTTTTTTTTTTGGTGTCATTTTTTTTAAAGGAAATAAAGCTTGATATAATGATAAGGAAAGTCTGTTTTCTTGCCTTTATCTCATGTAAACCTGCATTTATGGCTACATATTTTTACCCTACCCCAGTGATTACTGTTCTTGATGATGACCCTCAGTTATTTAGAGAAGAAAAATAATCCCCCTGTGTGTCATTTAGGAGACTGCAACTGGAGTATTTTAGAGAATTCTGTCCAAGAGTTACAGTTAGTTCTAAAGCAGAAAGGGTTAGCTGAGCGGCCTGGAAAAGATGGCTCTGAGCGACTCATCCCCAAGGGCTCTCCCTTCTCTTCTGCTCTGATAGCCATTGGCTTTGCTTTGTGACTCAGAATTTTTTTTATGTTGCTGTTCTAGCCTAATCAATGGTATTTTTCATTTTACCTAGTCATAGATTAGTTCATTTTGGCTATGTCCAAATAGGTTTGCAGATAGCCTGAAATTGCAGTATTTCAAAAACAAATTTTTTCCCCCGTGAAAGCATTTCCTTCTGGGATTTGACCCAGATGTTGGCCAAGCTGTTAGTTATAAATGAAATACAATTCAGTGTCCAGAGAAGGTACTTATATTTGAAATGTTGCCCCTTGAAGGTTCATCAAAATGTTGGCAGGATTTTTAAAAATTCAGTCTCTGCAATATAAGTAAAGGATTTTTTTGTTTGATTTTAAATGACTGTGGTCATTTAAAATGCATTGGTTGACATTTGGATCAACTAAGTCATGAATATTTACTTCTGTTGAGAACCTACTAATTTATTAAAATAATAAATAAATGTCTCTTGGATCAATGTACTCTTCTTTGGACTTAAAAATATAGTTATCCAAATTGCAGAACTCTTTGATCGTATTTGTCTCTATTCTTTGTATCTGGTCTGTTCTTCATTCCTATCAGCTTTCCCAAAAGGTCACCTATCTATCCCTCGTTTTCAGTCCTGTAGCTTTCTTCTAGTCCAGGTCTGAATCATTTTTCTAGAAAGGGCCTTTGAGGTCTTCTAGTTCAGCAGAAGTGTTTTTCAAAGCAGTAAGACTCAAAAGTAGTTGCCCAAGAGCCAGAGTAATATACAAGGGGGTTACTCACCAAAAAACCCCAGAATTTTTTTTCAAGATTATGTATTTAAATTTTTTTTACACAACAACCTTGTCACCCTCAAAGTACTTACTTTCCATTACACTTAATATATTTGTCAAATCTGTGATTCCATTCTTGGAAACATTTTTCAAACTCATCTGTTTGGATGGCTGACAGCACCTCCACCGTTTTTTTCCATCACCTCTTCTATGTTGCAAAGCACTGTCCTTTCATGTCCCTCTGCATTCACAGAAACAAAAAGAAGTTGCACTGAGTGAGGTGAGGTGTGTGGAGCAGGAGCGGCATCATGCTGTTTTTTTGCCAAAACTTGGAGCACTGAGATGGCTTCATGAACAGGTGCATTGTTGTGGCGTCAAAACTAGTTCCCCATCTGCCACAAATCAGGCCTTTTTTGTCGCACACTGTTAGGCAGTCTTTTCAGAACCTCTAAATAGAAAGCTTGATTAACAGTCTGACCTGGTGGAATGAACTCCAAATGCACTATCTTCCTCAAAACAAAACAAACAAATGAGTATCATCTTGATCTTTGATTTCACTTGATGAGCTTTTTTGGGGTGAGGTGACGATGGTGTCTTCCACGGTTTGATTGATGTTTAATTTTTTGGTGGTCAGAATTGCACATGTCTCTCAACACCAGTAATGACCTTGGGAAAAAAAGTCTGGGTCACTGCAGATCTGTTCTTTCAAAGCACTGCATGTTTCCACTTGAAGCTCTTTTTCCTGGTCAGTCAGAACCCGAGGGACAAATTTTGCAGTGACCCTTCTCATTCCCAAATCTGTTAACATTTGCTGAACTGAACTCCAAGATAGTCCAGATAACTTCCCCAGGTCTCCCGTGGGCCATCGTGGGTCTTTGAGCACAAGTGCACTGATTTCGCCAACATTTCATCTGTTCGGGAAATTGATGGACGTCCAGAACGAGGTTTGTCATCAACTGACATTTCATCTTTTTTGAAATGAGAAAACCACTCGTATACTTGCGTTTTTTCCCTTAGTGCTCTCCTTGTAAGCTGTGTTCAACATCCGTAACAGTTTCTGTGGCATTTTTCCAGAACAGAAAATAAGATTTCACAGCTGCACGCTGTTCTCTTAAATCAGCCATCATAAAAAACGAGGTTCGAGTGAGATTGCTTTTACAAAAAAATTCACTGTGACTACCGAGAACCTTCCCCTGTGACTCCACTGGGTGCACTAACTCAGAGCAGAGTTGCTTGATACTCTCCTAGCTGGAAAAATGTGTACTATGAAAGCTCCACCCAGCAGAGCGTTTTCCATTTTTGGGGGTGTGGGGGAGTGGCGGGGTACCTCCTCATAGAAGTTCTGACTCCCAAGTCCTGCTCATATTCCTGTCCATTAACGTTTTTGAAGCTGCTCAGTGGAGCAGGACTCAAGTAACTAATAACACTCATGCGTATGTAGTGCTTCCTTGGTAACAGGCTCTGTTCTCAAGATCTTACATGTATTTTTTCTGTGCAACCACTCTGCTGTAGAATTGAAGGGGTCAGATAGGGGAGTTGTATAGTAGATATCCTAGAGTAATTCTCCAGGCTTTTCCTTGACACTCATGACCTTGACAGTGTAGGCCAATTACTTTGTAGAATGCCCCAGACCCTGGGTTTGACTAATGTTTCCTCATTTTAAGTTTCCAGAAGTGATGCTGTAGTCTTTCGTCACATCATGTAAGTTGGTACATGATTTCAGTTCTAGTGCTGATGATGTTAACATTGGCCATTTGATTAAGGTGGGCATACTTTTAACAACAGGTTTTTTTAAGGTATAATAAATTTATAGTAAGGCTCATGATTTAAATGTACAACGTGCTGACTTTTGGCATGTATACACCATGACATCATCTCCACAGTCAAGACAGTTAATGAGACGTAGCAGATTTTGCTCTGTCACCTGTTCTCTGTGGGTCATTCGTCTGCCAAACCAAGTTTTCCCTCCCTGGTTCTGTTGGCTAGCGGTAGCTGTAGGTGACTGTTGAAATTAAAATGAAAAGTTCGTTGTCTCAGTCCCACTAGCCACATTTCAGGTGCTCAAAAGCCACGTGTGGCTAGTGGCTACCAGTTTGAATAGTGCAGCTGCAGCACACTGACATGATTGCTGAAAGCTGTGTTGGCCAGAGATGCTGGGTCTCCCCTTTCGTGTGAACAGCCCTCCAGTAATTTGAGGCTACTGTCTTCATTACTTTGTCATGCATGAAGGCTGCACCTAATTGGTAGGCCCCTCATTGGCCTGGTTTCCCTCTCCTTATATTTCACTATTACCTTCTCTGTGTATTTCTAATACATCACTACTACTGCCACTCTATCGTGGTTCTCTCTTCTGTTTTTGATAAAGGAAAAGAATTATTCCCAGTTTTTTTGTTGGCCTTCTCTTTCTTGCTCAGTTTGCTAAAAAAAAAAATCAAGAAACATTCTTGAATGCTTGCTGTGCTCTAGACAACACTACGCTAGGTGTTGGGGTATCGGTCAGGTCAGTGGGTTAAGAGCTAAAGCTGCAGGTAAAATTAAAGGGCACGAAGAATCGGAAGTGAAGGGGAAGCTGATGCGTTTTCATGTGAGCGGTCAGAGAAGGCTTCACCAACTAGATGGTGCTCTAACTGAATCTT